GCCATGTTGGCCATGCTGGTCTTAAACTCCTAGGCTCAAATGATCTTCCCTCCTTGGCCTCCTAAAGTGCTAGGATTTCATATGTGAGCCACCGTGCCCAGCCCAAGTATGTGTTTTAAAAGGAGAGGAATTTTTCTCAGAGTTGCTTCCAAGTTGACCACCACTTCTCTGTCAGTGGTCCCTCAATCCTTCTGCATTTCTTTGGTTGCACTGGCTACCATCTAAATAAAACTCACTAACTGCGATGTCCTCTTATATCAATGCCGACAACTCCACAAGAGCTTCTATAGACTAAAAGAAGGTAACACGAGGCAGGCTTAGCTTGCTTCATAAATTGGCCCTCTCTCCCATCTACGGCTCCAACTATAAAGCTGTTAGTTGCTCTAAAGAGGAGTTTATAACATGTGAAACTATAGACCAGATGTGACTTTTCGCAAGGTTGGAAGCAAACGTTCTTAAGAAGTTATACACTGCCCAGGGCTCCACTATAGACTCACTTGGTTCTTAACTTTTCTCTTCAGTCCTTAGATCTCCCCTCCTTTCTGTAACAGTGCTTCCTTTTTTGGAGAGGAAATCCCACCTTCTAACCACCAGGGCTGGTCTCATTATAGGGGACATTCTCCTCTCCAGGAGTATGGTTCTCTAAATTTGGGTCATTTCTTTAAGAACAATAGCTCAGAGCAACAACAAGGAAGTCTAAGATGAGCTTTGGGAGGTGAATTCCTGTATTGCAGTCCCACATGGGCCAATAGCAAATTTGGACCTTTTTCAGATCTTCCCACCAGATATAACTGCACCTTTTAATTTTGTTTGGAAGTCTATTGAGTAGGTAACCATTGGATTAGAAATATATACATTTATATCACTTGAGGATAAATACTGGAGAATGTTAGTCTAAACTTATAAGTAGGAAGAGAAACACTTTCCTATTGCCTATAATTTGCAAGAACACCACTACTTATATTGGAGTAATTAGATTGTTATACACACTGATTTTAATGTCTTTCTTCCACCATTGTCCTCACTCCTACTCCTTAATTTTCGCTTTCAAATTATACTCTGTTTAGACCGGCAATGAGTAATGATAAATAGGCTCATTTCTTAACAATAGGCTTATTTAGAGGATGCTACCTTACCTAGAGAATCTTGGCTAGAGCATTTCAATTATTCATTGTAAGGTTATAAGTTAACGTCTTAGGCTTAGCACAATTATCTTCTCTAATTTGCGATGGCAGTGGTGGTATAGAGGTGATTTCATGCTTCTAGTTACATAAAAGTGTCATTTCTAAATGTTACTAAACTTCATTAATAATCAGATAAATGTAAACTAAAAGGACAATAGAATAACGATATATCACTTTTTCCCTATCAAATTCTAACCTGATAGGCAAAAAGTGATATATCGTTATTCTATTGTCCTTTTAGTTTACATTTATCTGATTAAATATCGAGTATAGAAGGAAGTAGACACTTTCACCCAATGTTATTATTTGTTTAAGTTGATACAACCTTCTTGGAAGATAACTTGGTCGTATGTTTAAGCAATTAAAATATGTTGTCAAATAGCGACTCCCAAAAAGTTCATTGATTAAAAACTGTTGATTAAGCAAAGTTAAGTGTATTAGATTTTACTGCATTAAGAAAGTGTACCACTTTGACTGAGCCTTAACAGTGTCTCAAAATAGAAAATTAGAACCAATTGTTTGTAAGGTTTTAGAGCTTGGGCTAAATGCTTTCAGTGAATGTCAGGAATATGATTGGAATTGGGCACAGTATATTATACAGTAGTTTGATATTGGTGGGCACAGCAAGTGAATTGTTTTAAAGCATTTCTTTTTTTTTTTGAGACAGGGTGTCACTCTGCCACCTACACGGTAGTTCAGTGGGCCGATCATGGCTCACTGCAGCCTCATTCTGGGTTCCAGTGATCCCCCCAACTCACCCTTCCAAATAGCTGGAACTATAGACATGTGCTACCATGCTGGGTTAATTTTTATATTATTTGTAGAGATGGGATTTCACTATATTGCCCAGGCTAGTCTTCAACTTCTAGCCTCAAGTGATCGCCCCTGCTCAGCTTCCTAAAGTGATGGAATTACAGGCATGAGCCACCATGCCTGCTCTTTACTATCACTTTAAAAAGACAAATACGTGAAATATACATGGACAGTGTTTTATTTTTTAAATAAAAGGAATCAGTTAATAAACATCTGAATGACTGGATAAATTATAGGCATTTATAAAATAGATCATAATGCCACCATAGAAAGGTATATTTTTTTCATATTGACATAGAAATGTCTATGCTTACTAAGTAAAGAAAAAGTATAGAATTACAATGCATATGTTACCATTTGTTTGGCTTCAGGCAGTGATGTGCCAGAGCTGGTTCATATGGGCTCTTGAGAGCCACGTGCTCATTTCTTCACAACTGCAGTCAGACTTCATGCTGTTTGTTTAAAAATTGGCCATAGTGAGAGTATTTAAAGCATTTTCATCAAGGAAGTCAGCAAAGACTACAAATCAGGGGAAATTTTTTCCTCCCCCAGAGCTGGTTTACTAGCATGCCGCTGGCTTCAAGTAACAGAAAACACGTCTAGCACAGGCTTAAATTCTAGGGCCATTTATTGCTTACTACAAGGAGATCAGAGGTGGTAGGCAGTTCAGGAAAGGGTCAGCAACTAAATATGTCAGCAGGATCAAGGCTCTTTTTATTCTTATCTCAGTAAATGTGCCCTTACATTTCATTGTTCAGAACTGTTCACATAGCCAACCCTAGGTACAAAAGAGCCTGGGAGAGTCAGTAGCTGATAGCAGGAAACAGGGTAGTCATGAGTCAAACATGCATCTTCTGGAGTTGTACCTATTACTGCTACAAACAAGTCCGGGTTTATCAGCAAGCGTGGGGTAGGGAATGGATAAACAACTAACAGTGTCTGCTACTAATGTGTATGTGTGTACATGTGAATAAATATAACAATAAATAAATAAATTCTCATTATTTAAAACATATAGCTGCATACGGTGTCTCATGCCTGTAGTCCCAGTTACTTGGGAGACTAAGATGGAAGAATCACTTGAGGCCAGGCATTTCAGGCCAGCTTAGGTAACATAGTGAGACCATTCCCCGTCTGTGAAAAACAGAAGTATGTTTTTTTTGTTTTTGTTTTTGTTTTGAGACAGAGTCTTGCTCTTGTCACCTAGACTGGAGTGTAGTGGTGTGATCTTGACTCACTGCAACTTCTGCCTCCCAAGTTCAAGCCATTCTTGTGCCTCGGCCTCTGGAGTAACTGGGATTACAGGTGTGCACTAACACACTCAGCTAATTTTTGTATTTTTAGTAGAGACAGGGTTTCTTCATGTTGGCCAGGCTGGTCTTGAACTCCTGGCCTCAAGTGATCCACCCACCTCGGCTTCTCAAAGTGCTGGGATTATAAGTGTGAGACATCTGTGTCTGGCCAAAAATTATGTATTTATTTATACATCAAAATGTCTATAAAGAGGCCACGCGAGGTGGCTCACGCCTGTAATCCTAACACTTTGGTAGGCAGAGGTGGGTGGATCACGAGGTCAAGAGGTGGAAACCATTCTGGCCAACATTGTGAAACCCCGTCTCTACTAAAAATACAAAAGTTAGCTGGGTATGGTGGTGTGCACCCATAGTCCCAGCTACTTGGGAGGCTGAGGCAGGAGAATCACTTGAGCCTAGGAGGCAGAGGTTCCAGTGAGCCGAGATCGTGCCACTTTCTTCCAGCCTGGTGACAGAGT